GTGCTGGGGATTGAACTCAGGGCCTCAGGCACGTTATCAAGGACTCTACCACTGAACAACACCCCAGCCCTTTGGATTTTGAGACAAGATCTCACTAAGTTGCTGAGGCTGGTCTTGAATTTGTAATCTTCTTGCCTCCGCCTCCCCAGTAGCTGGGATTACAAGCATGCTCCACAAGCCTGGCTCATCTGGGGCTTCTTATGTCCATACCCCCTCCCCAGGGACAGCAGCCCAGCCCAGGCTGCATCTCCCCCAGCTCCAGTAGGAACCAGGGGCTGGGGAGCTTCTGACACGTCCAGGCTGAGGGCTCTCTTCAGCCCACCCCGGAAGCAGAAGCTGATAAGCATGAAGATAGCCCTGTCCATCGGGGATCAAAGGGGGAGTGGATGCTGAAGCCACCCAGGTAAGAGGACAGCCACCACAGTTCCTGGAAATGCTTAAGGAGCTTGAAAGCTGCCATTTTGGCTGCTTGGCTTGGGCAGTTGTGGGCAGCAAACCAGAGGCCCTGCTGGTTCCCCTGAACCAAGGAGGGTATCTTGTCAGGGGCCCCTGAGGCCCTGGTTTTCGAGTAATCTCATTGTCAAATAATAATAAGGACCACACCCCTCCTGAGCAAGCCCTGTTTAAGCCAAGTACTGCTCAGATCCAATGACTCGCCGAACCACCCAACAGCCCTGGAGCGGAGCTGCTCTCATCTCCAATGTACAGATCAGGAAATGAAGCTCAAAGGGGTTGAACTGCTTGGCCAAGAGACCAGGACCAGATCCCAGCCTCCACCTCTCCTGCTTCTGAGAATTAGAGGGGTCATAGCTTTCTTTTTCTATTTCTCTTGTGGAAACAGGCCCAGAGAGAGGGAGGAGATTCCCCCAGGGTCACACAGCAAGATGGACACAATCTTGTTGTTCCAGCTGGTCTTCCAGAGGGTTCTCCTGGGCTCTTGGCTCGATTCAGCCAATCCCTGCTGAGCTGCCAGGCAGAGCAGCTCCCACTGCCCAGCAAATGAAGAGCATGCCCATCCCTGCCCATTGTGACCTCTCCATGGCCTGAGAGAAGCCAGGCCTCCCACTGTGCTGGCTGCTGCCTGGCTCTGGCCCGTGGCCTGTAAGCTCTGCCTGTAACAGGACACCCGTGGTTCAGAGCTTGGAAACCAGGCGCAACCTGTGCTCTTAGGCCTTGGTTTGCCCTCCTGGAGCCCAGCGACTGGAGGAAGTCTGCCTACCCTGAGATCTCACGGAGGAACCAGGGGAAAGACCGGACCCCTCAGGGCAGGGGACCACTGGCCTGGGAGTGATCCAAAACCAGTGAAGTCAAGCCATGAATGTCTTTTTGCCTGCAGATATTTTGTTTTTTCAATGCTAGGACAAGGTCTTCTTTTTCCCATCAGACTGAGGGGTTCCCAAGTCAGAGCTTTGTCTACCTGCCCCAGTCGTAGGTTCTCCTAGGACAGGAAGTGTGTTTCCCTCATCAGACTGGAGGGGGGGGTACCCCAGGCCAGAGCTATGACGCCCTCATGAAGCTGGTTATTCCCCAAGGACAACGCTGTCCCCCTCATCAGACTGGCTACTCCCCAGATAACATGTCCCGCATCGGAGTGAGCAGGAGCCACATCTCCCCCCAGCTAGTCCTCATCCTGAGCACAGACAGATCTATGCCATTGACTGCAAGGTAGCTTCTCCCAGAATGAAGAAAAACTCCTTCTAGCCTCCCGCCCCATCCCCGGGTAGCCCAGCCAGAGAGGCTGCCATGGGGCCACTGGGGGGCCTGTCTCAGACCAACGGGGCCCCGCCAGGCCCACAGGCTCGTCTCTGTGCCTGCCACCCCCACTGGGCCACCCAGCGCCCCCTGACCCCGTGGCCTTCCATCATGGGAGATCTATAACATTTACAATCCCAAAACAAAAGACCCCGAGAGCCAGGGACAGAATTCATCTTCCCAGCTGACAAGCCCCGTTAATTAACGACTTGGAAATCGATGACGAGAAGGGACAGGCGGCAAATGACACCTCATCGTGGGCCAGGAGGAGGGAGGAAATGTCCGGGGACTGGTGGACACGCACCGTGGGGCTGGCCCGGCGCCTGGGAGAGCCACCGCCCCCATCTGTCACTGTCACTTCAAACGCAGTCTACTACCTCCCAACCCAGAAATTCTCATTTCCCACCATGGCAGACCCCCAAGAAAAGGAGGGGGGGGTCGTGCCCAAAGAGTGAAGGGAAAGCAATTTATGGAGCACCTACTACATGTGAGGCATGGTGCTGGGTGTTTTTCATCCATTACAACCTCTGAGAACGGCTGTGGGAGGAGGTTTATTGTTCCCATTTTAGGGATGAGAAAGTAAGGGCTAGAGGAAGGCCAAGCTGAGGCGGTCTACGGCTGGGGTTGTGCTTTTAAACACCTACTGTAGGTTGATGAAGGAAGAAACTTAGTTAAAGCAAAGAGCTCTGGACCTGAGAACAGATCTGAGAGTGCTGTCCCCTCGTCCACACCTGTGTGATATGAGATAAGTTACTTGATTTCTCTGAACCTATTTCCTGGTCTGCAGGAAAGGGAGGCTAACCCCCACTCTGCACACTACAGAGAGGGTTCACGGTCCTTGTGAATGTAAAGAATCAGGCCTGATTTTCTCACCACCAGGCCTGTCAATCACCCCCACCCAACTCAGGGGCAAAAGGGAGATGAAATGGTATGAGAGGCCAGAAGGGTTGTGCTGGAGAACAGCAGGCTTGGAAGGGTCCAAGGGTAGCCACCAATGATGTGAGGGCAGGCAGAGCCTTAGGCCCATGTGTGAGGAGTTTAATTTTTCTGTTAGAGAGATAATAAGGATTGGGGTATAGCTCAGTGGTGAAACGTTTGCTTAGCAAGTTCAAGGGCCCTGGGTTCAATCCCCAGAATACAAACACGCCCGCACACACATACAGAATAAAAGCACCCTTTTACAGCATTGTTGTGAAGCTGAGACAAATAACATAATAGCTCAGTAAGGCTGGGTTTATAGTAAGTGCTCAATAAATGTTCGAAAGTGTTGGTGATCCTATTTCCTCTCTCTCCCTGAAAATTGTGTATTGAAGTGCAGGGAAGTGGGGAGGTAACCAGACACATGGACACCCACCTGATCCAGAAGTGGATGCTGAGGGCCCACGGGACTCAGGGGAGCATAGCTGCAACTCTTGGAGAAGAGTTTGAAAACAGACTTAGACTGACACTCTCCATCCAGTGTGGTGAGTTCTGTGCTGGGACACAAAGTCCTCTGGGAGCCCAAAGGAGGTATGTTGAGTTCTCAGAAGAGGTGCTGCCTGACCTGGAAGAAGGGGCAGGAAGTCATCACGCAGGGATGAGGAGGGTTACGATCTGGATCTTGGAATGTCTCCCTAAAAGCATGTTTCCTCGTGCACTCAGCAATCCATGTTCAGAAGTGAGATGATTGGATTATGAGGGCTGTAACCTCACGGGTCATTAGTTTAAATTCCCTACTGGGTGGTAACTGCAGGCAGGTGGGGTGTGGCTGGAGGAAGCAGGCCAACAGGGGCGTGGCCCAGGACCACATCCTCCCTGGCTCCCCCTGCTCTCTCTCCACTCCCCAGCTGCTCTCCTCTGCCACACCCTTCAGCCATGATGCTCTGCCTCACTCAGGCCCAGAGTGATGGAGTCAGCAAACCACGGACTGAACCACTGAAACCAGGAGCCCCAAATAAACTTTTCCTCCTTGAAATCATTCTTGTCGGGTATTTTGGTCCCTGTGACAAAAACGCTAACTAACACAAGGGGACAAGGGGGTTCAGCAGGGGCTGGGGTGAAGCAGTCCCTGCACCCATGCCCAGCAGTGCACAGGGTGCTTTTTTATTATTGTTATTATTTTTATCCATGCAGCCCAGAGCTCAGTAGAGCCCAAGAGGTGCCTGGAAACATGAGGGTGGCTTGTGGCTACTGGGGGGTTGAAGGGGGATGTGATGGGAGCCTAGAGGGGCTGGGACAAATGGAGAAGCATGCAGGCTGCATAGCACACTGGGGAGTTTAGAGCCTCAGCTTCCTTATCTATAAAATAGGGCCAGATTCCAAAGAAGACATATGAATATG